CGGTGAATAATTGAGATCCCAAAAATAATCGTGCGATTAACATGGTTTATGAAGTTCATGCGGTGAGTGAGATAGCACTGTAGACATGCTATTGTAAATAATACATTATCCACATATCCAATCTCACCATCCATGTGTTCTTATCAATGCAAAACATACATTATTTTGATATACAATAAATATCACTAATCTACATTCAGCGATTAGTTTCACACACACAGATGTGTCGTTCAGGTGAATAACAACTGATTATTCAAACGTCACGAACGTAATGGTGACCGAATTCAACTTTAGAATAATCCAAGTATTCCTTCCTCTGACATTTGCATAGAACATTCACTATGATGTTTACGAACTGATAGCTCCTAGTGAGCATCTTCCGTACACTTGATTCATATAACGTATAGCCCATAATGAATAAGTGGGAGATTTCCGCTCATTATAGTTTTCGTTAAAATCACATGTAGTCTTACATCATTTTAATACATCGTAATGTTCATATGCAATATCTAATATTCACTATTGAACACAATCACATTTTAACAACCACCACCACCACCACCAACAACAACAACAACGACAATGTCATGAACAGATGAGAAAGTTCCCTCAACCTATTTATTGTTTTTCATCATTTCTGTTAACTAATTACAATTAACTTGACAGTTCATTGATTATTCAACGACAAAGTAATTATTGTTTGCCACTTTCCATTGTGAAGTGAGAAACAGAAACGAAACACAATCTAAAAGATAATGAAAATCTGTTGACAATTGATTGGACAAGTGAACTGGTTTAATTTAATTTACAAATGATCATTCTCTGAATATCAGTTCGGAGGAATAGAGATGAATGAACATTGAGAAGAGGATAAGTGAGTTGATCCGATCATCATGGTCATTATCATTGACATGAACACGTACACTCACAAACGGAGAGAGAGAGAGAGGGAGAGATGGAGGAGGGAGTTAAGTAAACAGTGTGATCAGCATTGTTGTATGTGTTAGTTAGGCAGAAGAGATAAGTGTGAAAATGGCGTGAAAAATGTGAACATTTCACACGTGCGAAATGCAACACATCGACACATTGAGTCGACTGGAACAAAATCAACAATATCACATCAACCTGTTCAAATAAGAACACACAGTGTATGGAAACAAACAAACAGACAAACAAACAATCACTCAGACAAATAGAGAGACAAAAGAAATAATTAGACAAATAATTGGTTGAATGAATGGAAATGGAAATGAAGATTATGTCAATGTGTTTTTATTGTGTTTATCCGACAGTTGAACAAGTGAATATGTTGTAACTGTCAACATTTCATACTTTCAAACACCGTAGTAACATGAAAGTAGACAGCATAATCAACTGTGAAATGAAAGCGAGTACAAACGATAACTATCATTAATTAAAAAAAACAATTTGTGAATGAGTTAATCAGTGAGTTGTATGAGAAGTGAGAACCCGCACAATACAGAATTGAACAATCGATCTCATTCTGTCATGCTTTAGGCTATCTACATTGAATTCAGTAAAGTCATCTATTAATTGTCTTTCGCTCTCTCTCTCTCTCTCTCTCTCGCTCTCATTCACACACATGTATATACACTCTCTGTTGTCCGGTTGGTGCAGACTATCACATTCGACGTGATGGTATTAATCTATTCGGAAGTGATATTTCTATCATGTGACAATAATATATTTGACTTTATATAGCAGTGACAAATTCGTACTTAGTGTGTATGATAGGTTAGAGAATGGATGTTTGAAATAGTAACAAATTGTTTTTGACCGATTGATGATAGTTGTGGTTTTGTTCTGTTCATAAATGTGGATTGTCAAATATGTTGTTACTGTTACCAGTCAATCGAGTAATTCAGCAGTATGATGTTGAGTGTTGGTGTTGGAAGTGTTGATATAGTAGTGACTGGTGATGTTGAGATGGAACCAAGTAGATTTCACTACATACGACACATCGATCATTGTTCAGTACTTGAATCAGAGACATGTGTTGTGATTTGGTTGTGTGTGTATGTAGAGTGACTAATTCTCAGGATAATAGACAATATGCTTCACATATTTCAAATTGTGACCATCAACACACCATCCTGTTTCATTTTATTAATGGACTAACATGTGTTTATCGTTCGTCTTCGATACTAATGAATGAGTTTAATGATCGTATGATTGTGTATCATTCGTTCACTGCACTTTGTTCATCTTCAACTTTGCATTTTTCGTTCTTTAGCTGTTTTTCAGATGGTATATTTCATTTCCAATTGTGTAATATCAAAATAAAATATTCCAGAATGAATTTCATGTACTAATTGACTGACCTTCAAAATCCATTCACACCATCTTCATACATTGATCATTTGAGGGGAAGTTGCAATTGACACCAGTATTCGTAATTTACAAGTGTTACTCATTAATAGTGTGAAACTGTCATTCGGTAATCTTCGTTCAACTCTATTCACCATCAATCAACACGCCCACACGAATAAAACACATTCGTCTAACGCAGTCACTCACACACACACATACACTGTAAATGTTTACATCGTACGATCAGATTTAGCCTACTTGTTTTTCATGTGCAAGTGAACTATTGACAAAACAATAAAATGTGACTTCCAGTAATGATTGACTAAAATGCAGCAATGAGTGAATGAGTGAATGAATGAATGAATGAATGAATGAATGAATGAATGAATGAATGAATGAATGAATGAATGAATGAATGATTTGACCAGTTTAACTCCTCACTCATAATATTCACACAAAAACAAATGTGTTTGACCTCAATTAATCACATGCACTTACAATGTTCTAATGTGGTCTAATGTGGTCTAATGTGTTTTGAATATCCTTATTTAGACATTTGCAATGTGATGAAAATTACTGTCGATACGATCACGTAGTGGATGAATAAACTTCCAACCAATCACAATGTTCACTCATGTTTCTTCGACAATTACAATATGGTTACAATCTTTGTAGTTAGTCATCACCAATTAAGAAAACAGTGAAATGGGATCAGTCATCGTAGTGATTATTACTATCATTACTGTTATTATTATTATTACTATTGTAATTGTTATTGTCTGGACGATGTGAATAATATCGGTGTATGGTTTTGTGTAGATTGTAAAATATTCACAGTTTGGAACATAATGTGTTTGTAGCTAGATGACTATTGAAAACCAGTAAGCACTGGAGAGTTATTTTGTTGTAATGTGGGACTTCTCATCGATGTGCCTGTATGACTTCTTATTCATCTCTTAACCATAGCATGAATTTCTAGTCTTAAATGAAACAAACCCAAGGGTTTGTATTTTTACATCCTAATTGTTGAATTCATGAGTCGATCTTGGTTAGACCACAATGGAAGACCTTAAAGCAGCGGACTACCGTTTTGTCCTAGTATGTAACTTCTTAGTAGTGCGCACCCATTATCCCTCACCAAAGAAACTTGATCCAAATACCTTCCGTCTCACGCGCGAACACCTAACCTTCAGACCAGTTAGGCGACATACCACGCTGTTTATGTCTAACTTCAATCTGTACATGATCTTGCATCACTCTTTCCCCATTGTCTGAGATGTACAAATTTCTCCATCCGAATACCATTCGCATAAATCCATATTCTGATAATAACTATGTTTTCACTAGTGACTAGCTTCAAGTTGAATTTTCTGGAGTTCTAGGGAGAATCCGTAACCAGTGAAGTCGTCTGTGAGGCGGTTATCCACCTCAGACAATGAATGAAGAGTGATACAAGATCATGGATAGATTGAAGTTATACATCAACACCGTTGGATGTCGGCCCGCTAGTTTGTAGGTCAAATATACGCGCGTGAGATCGAAGGTACTGGGTTCAAGTCTCTCTGGTGAGGGATTATGGATGCGCACTACTAAAAAGTTCCATACTAGGATGGAACAGTCGTCCTCTGGTTCGAGTTTTTCAGTTATGTGGTTCGGCTTTTATGAACTCATGAATTTAATTACTAGAATTACTATAGTCTCTACAAATCCCTATTATGATTTTTATATTCTTCTGAATTTCTTAACTAATCTTCTGGTTCACATCATTGATTTATAGTCGTTCAAGTACTGCTAATATCACCTTTTAAATAGTAAAATTCTGTACATGGCTTGGAACTGACACTTCGTCAAATATTCACAAAACCCCTTACGATATTAATCAACATATACTCACTAGTGACGGTTTTCAAGAGGTATTTCCTAGAGTTCTAGTGAGAACCAGTGACCAAAGGAGTTCAACCGGGTCTATTATGAGATAGTAACTCACTGAAGATAATGGTCAATGTATCGGTCAATTTCGAGGATTAGTTAAAATTAGACATTAACACCGTTGGTTTAATGGTTAAGTGATCACGTGCGCTAGACTGATAAGTCATGAGTTAGAATATCGCGAGGCAGGATCGTGAATGATCATTACCAAGTAGTAATCCCACAATAGAACAAAACAGCCGTTCACTGTCCCCTGGTTTTCCATGATGATCTAAATTCAATTGACTCATGATCTCAACTATTCAAATTACACTATAATATCCACAGAACTCCTTCTGATATTAAACTCCAGTTTCAAATGATCAAATTTTCATTTTTAAGGATGACAAATTGTAAAAATTAATGACATTGAAAACAGAACATACAAACATTCTGTTTATATAATCATGTATGTATGTATGTATGTATGTATGTATGTACGTATGTGTGTAGTGGCATATGAATGACTATCCAAATAAGGAAGTACGCATGCAATTAACAATAATAACGATTATATTCGTATTAATGAAATAGGTCATTAGTAGTTAATGTTACAGACAAGATTTTATGGATCATCATATGGTGATCCATACACATGCTTAGATATTTATATATATGCATACATACAATAAGACACTTAGACATGTATAAAAGTTCATTATGAAAATAGTATATATACAGATAACCATCATACATTATATGAATAAGAATGATATTCACATTAATTCTACTTACATTAATTCTACATATACATTGTAATACTGATATTCATACAACTATTTCTATTAAAAATCAATTAGAAAATGATCTAGATCAATTGAATATAACCAATGATTCTAATAATAATAATAATAATAATACAGAAACTGATTCATCTATATTATATCCTAATGTAACTTATGTTATTTTACCAACAGTATTTTATTTAGGTCAAACTAATTTAATTACTGTACGTAGTCGTCAACCAAATACACAATTATATATATCTATGAATGTAACTGAATTATTACCTACTATAATTAATAATTCGAATCAAATTTATTTATTAAAACAATTAAATACAACAGAAAATTTCTATGGTTTAGATATACCATATAAAATTCCATTTATTTTTACACATGATCATTCTATATGGGTTAAATTAATATTTCATTTTATTCATTGTTTAAATAAAATCAATTTTATCAATAATCAATCATGTATTGATTTTAATACTACTGAAATCATACATTCTATTCAATTAAAACAATTACCATTGATAACACTTGGTGAAACAGATAAACCAATTTATAAACCTGGTGAATATGTACATTTTCGTTTTTTAACATTAAATATTAATAATTTATTACCTATATCAACAAATATCATATTACCAAATAAGAAATTAATTATTGATAAAGGTTCTAAAGGTCAACTTATTGAAATGAATTCATTAGAATTAATAAAATGGAATTCTATTATATATGATAGTATTACTATAATAGATCCTATGGAAAATCATATTAAACAATGGTTAAATATAACACCTAAACAAGCATATAATTTAACTTTTCCTTTATTACATAATAGTAAAGAAGGTAAATGGAGAATACATGCTATAATTAAATATCATAATATAGAAATTATTGAATTTACAGTAAAAAAATATACATTACCAAAATTTACAATTACATTAGAAACACCTAAAAATTTTACTATAGAATCAAAATATATTCAATATTCAATATGTGCAAAATATACAAATGGGCCACCATTAAAAGGTTATATACAATCAATATTATGTGCTTGTAATGAATATATATGGGATAAACAATTTTCTCAATTAGATAATGAACAAATTATACAATCTTTATTAAATACACCTAAATGTCCATCTGATCATTATGAAATAAATACAAGATCATGTATTATAATAAATCAACCTTTAGAAACAAATGGTTGTAAATTATTTAATATATCAACAAATTTATTTGCTTTAACAACTAATCAATATTCAAAATGGCAACAAATAAGTATATTATGTGCACAAATAATAGAAGAGGATACAAATTCAAAATTATATAATTGTATAAAAGGTGATCTTATTGAACAAAATAATCAACCAAATATACAATTAGAATTACCACAAGTATATAAATCAAAATTACCAATTTTAGGTAAAGTAAAATTAAAAAATTTTGATAAAACTATTAATTATAATATAAAATTATCTGTAACTGATCAAAAATGGGGATGTTATTGGCAAAATACAGATCAAAGTATAGAACATTATTTAAATATTTTAACAATGAATTCATCTGGTGAAAGTATATTTTATATACCACCAATTAAATCAAAACATTCAATATCTGTTGAAGCTGAATTATTACAATCATCTATTAGTTCAACGAATTCATCATCATCATCATCATCATTGACAAATGAAACTAATTCAAATCTAACAATCAATAAAAATAATACAAAAAAATTAATTCATCAAAATCCATCTGATTTTTATTATTGGTCATATAAACAACCATGGATACAAGAGAATAAAATTATTGAAAGTGTTATATTAAGATCATGGGATTCAATTAATGAAATTTATTTACAATTATGGCCACCACGTGATAAAATTAGTACAACATGTCCAAATGTAATTAAATTAACTTTATTATCAAATATACGTTTATCCGATAAAACAATTTTTATAGAATCCGTGATAAGGGGTAAACATCAAAAAATTGTAATACCATCATCTAATAAAATATCTGATGATTTAGATCATAATGATGATGATGATTGTATAAATCGTGATGATGAATTAGGTCATTATAATTGTTTAAATAAGAATTCAACAGAAATTGAATGTTTACCTGGTTGGTATGGTGAAAATTGTTTAATTCCTATTTGTTCATTAGAATGTAATAAAAATGGTGGATTTTGTTCAAAACCTAATCAATGTCAATGTAAATCAGGTTGGACAGGAATAACATGTAATCAATGTATTCCACGTGAAAATTGTTTACATGGTAAATGTTTACTTGGTAATGATTGTGTATGTAATTCTGGTTGGACTGGTTATTTATGTGATAGTAAAAATGTAATTTATGAAAAATTTAAAGATGATTCTGTAATAAATAATACAGAAACTATTACTGAAGAAATAATTAATCAACAATCAGATAATGATTCTATAACAAATTCATCATTTGAAAAAATAAATATGAAACCAATTCGTACATTATATCAACGTAATATAGAATTTCATATTGATGGTTCATGGGGACCAAAATTTACCGCTATCATTTATTTTCATCATTATCAATTTGATCAAATGATACCTGAAATTATATCAACACAACTTATAATAGAACAAATTGATTATTGTTCAAGTAATGCTATTGCATTACAATCAATAACTAATCAAACTAATTTTAAATTAAGTCAAATGATAGCAAATCCTGGTGAAAAAATTAAAATGATTATCAATCCACAAGGTATATCTCAATCAATGAATTATTCGAATATAAAATCAATAAAATTCAATAATGATAATGATCATGGTCAATTATTGAATGAATTATGCTTTATTAGAATCTCTGATATATCATTAGATAATTATCAAGGTGATAAAAATTTAATAAATTTACAATATTTTGTTAATCAATTAATTGAATTTACTAGAGAAAATGAATATAGACCATTAGTTGCTAGTTCAACACAAGAAGCATTTTTAGCTGCTGGTTTTCAATTTGGTTCAACTTATCCAGAACCAACATTTATTCAACGTGTTTATCCATGTCCTTATTTAGCATATTCAAATACATTAGATATTGTTATGGATGATAGTGTTGGTGATAGTGGTTATAAATCAAATACAGGATATCCTCAAACAGTTTCATTACGTAAAGATTTACATAATATAATGAAACCAAGATTAAGAGATTTCTTCCCTGAAGTATGGTTATTTGATGTTATACCTATTACTAATTTACCGATTAACAATGCTGCTGCTGCTGCTGATGGTGATGATGATGATGATGACGACGATAATGAAAATGATACCGAATTCAAACAAATTAATACATTAAAAGGTATTGAACTTAATCTTACTGTACCAGATACTATAACAAGTTGGAGAGCATCAGCTTATTGTACAACTAAAGAGAATGGTTTATGGATTAGTGAACCACAAATTTTAACTGTAACTATGCCATTTTATACTGAAATAACTTTACCAAAAGAAATGAAACGTGGTGAAATTTTACATATACCTATTAGTATCTTTATTTTAGATAGAAAATATTTAAATCCTACTAATGATCATTTTAATCAAATAGAATGTTATGAAACTATAGTTAAAATACAATTAAATAATACTGAATGGTTAATAACTACATCAAATGAATTTATTGGTTGTATATGTACTGGTGAAAAGTTAACTTATTTAGTTGGTTTATTACCACAACAATTAGGTCATTTAAATGTAACTGTTGAAGCATTTGCTATTAAACATGATGAATCTTGTAAATCAATTCAAACAAATAATAATAATAATAATAATGAAAGTTTGACATTTGAACCATATCAAACACAAATAAAAATTAATTCATCTAAAATCTTATCTGATAAAATAACTCGTCAAATTCATGTAATCCCTGAAGGTATTCAACAAGAAACAACATTTAGTGATATTATTTGTTTAAATGAACAACAAACTATATCAATGCGTCAATTTGAATTTATTATACCTAATGATATGATTAAAGATTCACTTTATAGTTATATATCATATAGTGATGAAGTATTAGGACCAGCATTAGTTAATTTAGATAATCTTATACGTTTACCAACTGGTTGTGGTGAACAAAATATGATATTAGTAGCACCAAATGTTTATATATTAGATTATTTAAAATCTATATCAAATATTAATATCAATAATAATAAAGAAAAATATATACAATCAGCTCAATCTAATATTATATCTGGTTATTATCAACAAATGAAATATCGTCGAAATGATGGATCATTTTCTGCATTTGGTAAATCTGATAAACATGGTAATACATGGTTAACATCATTTATAATACGTGTATTTGCTAAAGCTTATATAATATTACAATCTAATATAACAATTGATTGGAATTATTTATTTAATGATGCTATTAATTATTTATTAATTCATCAAAATAATCATACTGGTTGTTTTGAAGAATATGGTAAACTATTATATTCACCATTAAAAGGAATTAATGATCTCAATGAAATACAATGGAATAATATTTTATTAACAAGTTATGTTAGTTTAGCATTATATAAAATACAATTTATATTTAATGAAAATAATTATAAAAATAAAATAAATAATTTACATATAAAAAATTATACTACTGAAATCAATCAATCCATTAATGCTGCATTTAATTGTTTAAATATGAAATTAATTCATATAAATTCATTAAAAGAATTACCTACACCAGTACTGATTCAATTAAGTTATATTTATACAATTATGAAACCATATTATAATATAACAATAAAATTACAAAATGAAACAATCAATAGAAAACAAATTCTACATGATCAATTTGGTACAAAAATATTTTGGTCAATAAATGATTATCAGAATAATACTATAATCAATAAAAATAATTATAATGAACCAAGAGATTTAGAAATAACAGCTTATGCATTTTTAATGTTAAATTATATTAATCAATCAATACATGATTTATTTCCAATTATACGATGGATTAGTTCAAAACAAAAATTAAATGGTGGTTTTTATTCAACACAAGATACAATACTTAGTATTGAAGCAATTACTAAATTTGCTAAAAGATTAGATTTATCAAAAATATCCTATTTCAATTTATCATCAAATAGAATTAATATAACAAATAAAATAAATATTAAAAATTATACATTAAATGATATAATTACACCGGATAAAAGACAAGTAATTAATCAAATTGAATTACCTAAATATCATTTAAATAATAATCAAAATACAATACATTCTATATGGGAATTAAAAAGTAATCAATCACAAACAGATTGTATATTAATACAAAATACATTTATGTATAATATACCTGAAAAAAAAGATATTAATAAAAATATTAAATTATCTTTTAATATAATACAACAAAATAAACTATCAGATATTCAATGTAAATTAGCTACATTATCAATGTGTTTACAATTGAATAATATAAAAAATATAAATACTATCAGTACTGGAATGTTAATGATACATGTTACTATGGTAACTGGTTGGGAACCAATATTAGAAGAATTAAATTTACAATTAGGTTCTAATGATGAATCATTAAGAAAATTTACTATTAATGATCAAAATGAAATTTCATTATATTTTGATGAATTCTCTAATAATGAACTTAAAAAATTAGGCGGTGATTGGACAAAATTAAAACGTTGTATTAATTTATCATTAAAACAAATATATTATGTACAAAATGCTAAATTAGCAACAATAACCGCATATGAATATTATACTCCAGATGAAAGTGTTACAATCACTTATCAATTAGATGAATGTAAACAAGGATGGAATATATCTATAATTGAATCATCAACAGATAATTTTACTGAATCTACAATAACTACTGATAGTTCTATAGACAATATAATAACTCCACAAATGAAACCAATTTGTCCAATATGTATAGATCAAGTAAATAATACAGAACTACTTACTGATGAAATATTTACATCAGTATGTAATTATACAAATGGTATATTTCTTCTAAAAGTTTTAGATTATAATAATAGTACTATAAATGTTACAATCATTCAAATATCACAATCTGGATATACAGCTAGTTGGAATACAACTATATTATTACCTAATCTTATAGAATGTTCATGTCAATTAATTCAAACACATCAATATTTAATATTATTCTTTGATCAATATACTACTATTTATCAAGGTGTTGCACAAATTGATTTAAATACATTAATTGTAACCGCTAAATTTATATCTAGTCAAGAATTATTACCTAATTTAAAATTAGCATATAAAAAATGGTTAACTATTTCATCTAATTTAACAATTGATGAAGATTCTAATTATTATGATTTTTTTACTGATAATTGTAAACGGTTACCATGGCTAATTAAATATATTGAAGAGAGATTTATGAATTAAACTATTGTCATATGAAATAATGATTCGTTTTTGGAAAAAGAAAAGAAAAACTACGAAAAAAAAATCATTTTAAATTTTTGCGTGGGCGTATGTGTGTGTGTGTGTGTGTGTGGATGTGAATTCACATTGACGACATATTTTGTGCTTATGATTATTATTATCCCCGTTTTTTTTGAAAGTAAATATTGATTAAAAAATAATCATTTTGTGTGTGTGTGTATGTTTACATAAATAAAAACTTTATTTAAATAATAAATCATTTTGATATTAATTATAGTTTAGATGATCATATTGATTATCAATAGTTGATAGGTAGAACTTTTGGTAATGTTTTTGATGGAGTTTTGTTCTCTGAACTGGATAATTTAGTGGTTAGTAGGATAAAAGATAGAAATACAGTAAAAGTTAAAGTGAAAAATATCATCTTTAATGAAGATCATACATAATACATGGTACACTTACCCACAGAAGACAATGGAAGATGGTTGTTCAAATATTTTGGATTGGTTAGAGTTAAACATTAACACCGTTGGATGTTGGCTTACTGGTCTATAAGTTAAGTGAAAGTACTAGGTTCTAATCTTACATGCAGGATCGTGGATGTGAACTATTGAGAAGTCTCATACTAGAATGAAACTGTCATTTAGTGCTTCCAGGTTCTAACATTGATCAGTTCATGATCTCAATTAGAAAAGACTGTGTATAACATAATGAACATTCAAAACATTTCAGATAATGTTACACTTTCGACCTCAACACAGTAATTTAATTAAATTTAGCGAATATTAACTTTTAATTAATCATACTTAAAAACTGAAGTTATCCAGAAAGTTTAATTAAATTACACCAAAAGCCCTAGTAACCAAGTAACATTAACAAAAGATATGAATCACTGGGAAGAAACTATGAAAGAATATGTTATATATTTTCGTTTCTAATAAGTAGTATATTATTAATAAATTTTACTGAGTCCCATTTTTCTAATGTTTTTAACAACTTTGCGTTTAAATTGTGCCCTTAAATCATAGATCCTATGGGTAGATATCATTATTAAATAAGATATTTGAGCGAATGTAATACTGCTTCAAATCATTGTATATTGAAATGAAAACAGATAGTCATATGAATCTATACTAATCTATAACTAATCCAATGTTACACAACCCTAATTACATTATGTTTAACATATCATTGTCAGATTTATCAGTATGTTAGAAAAACTGAAGCACCAGATGATTATTTTATTCATTGGGAGTACGAAGTTCAGTGAAGTGATCTCTTTTCAACGAATTCATTATCAAACTGTACAATCGTATTGTTACGTCCATGATCTATGTACCCGATAATATACATGAGAGAATTTGTCTTGTTAAAATCTTTACACATTAGACCGGTTTAACCCTGAGGATAGAAATGTGTGAGTTCAAATTTAGACTAATAACCTTCTATCACAAGCTAGAGAGGAGACGAGTCAACTGGAACACTACTTGATATAATCCTGATTTCCAACTCAGATTAGTGTAAAAAGAGACATGAATAAATAAGTGATCAACATGATCACAACGCAAAAACAATAAGAAAAATACAATTATGTCCAAACTGGGAAGAGTATGTTACGCTTAAATTACAATAGCTTCGGAACAGAAAAGGGTATGTCAATGAATCATAAATCAAACGAAAGTTTGTAGTTTATAGAATAAACTAGGGATAAAAGTAAATGTAAACATTTCACAAACTTTGAATTAAATGAAATAACATCATCAAATATAGCATCCATTGTTTGTCATGGCTTCTTTGTTTCTCTATTCACAACATCTTCCTCCTTGACAGAAAAATGTCATAATGACCATTTATCTGAGTGCATAATTAAAGGAAACTGGCTAGCGTTATGGTCCTTGTAAGACGTGACCAATTTGGTTGACTGGAATAAATAAAAAAAATGATTATTCACTAGTTGAAAGCAATCGCTAAAATATCATCATTTATGTCTCTCCCGAAAATGTTGTATGCTCTTTTTCCGGGTCAATATGAAAAAAGTTTGGTCTCTTGCGTTTCCGTAATCATCTCACAGGTTTCTGTTGCGGTTCTACAGTCTGTTGAGTCACTGAACTTCTTACATATAAACTGTTCATGAAGATTTCCTACATTACACCCGGTTTCTCAGTTTTCTATGGCGTGCCAGAATTTTCCAGTATGTGGTTGGCATGACCTATCCACTTTTGGCCTCCAACTTCCACCACATTCATCAGGTTACTTCATCTCCTAAGTATACGTTCACTGGTCCACTGCGGAGACAAGTATCGGAGATCATGAACGTATACTTCCTGGTTATTTTGGAAAATCCTGCATTTCGTCTCATGGTGGCGATTAAGTTGGGTGTCCATCTTTCTGTTTCTTCTCCCTACGTCTTATTGCTTTGGTTTTAATGACAAAAATACTTCGTTAAACTTACACCTGCTCAGTTTGCTTTGGGGTACAGCTGTATAGTTTTTTTCGAAGATAATTTATGGGAGATGTCGGCCTTTGGAAGAAAATAGAGGACTTTAGTGTGGAAATACCACTAGGACAAAATGCATGAGATTTTGAAGTCTTATGAGAGCATATTGCTTCGGAGACATTCGATTCAGAAATATTATAAGAACATGTCACATCATAGACATTGACTTACAAATATTATGGGAAATTTGAACAGACTCAGATGAAGGCTTATGGGAACATACTTCAATTAATAAACTACTCAAGATATCAGTTTTCTCGATCCAGTTTAAACCTAATAGACCCAAGTCACGATGAATCATCAGATGGTAAATGTCATCGAATTTACGTTCTTTCAATTTCACCTCGCACATGACTTCTCTTGTTAGCCTCAATATATCTTCTGAGGCACTTCGTGCTACATTTTCGGTTTGCTGGATGGGTGGACATCCTAGTGTACTCCACATGTTTTTGGAAATCAATGTAGTGTTGGAGGCTGTATCTAACCGAAGACGAATCGGTTTACCATTCACTAATAAGTTTACAAAGTTCCGTTTACTTTTCAACCTAACTTTGAAAGTCTCAAACGTACTCTTGATTTGACTCTGTGAATGTCACTTCACATTTCCGCTTCGACATTTTGACGGGCGTATTTTTTTTGGTGGACAGTGACCTTCGTTATGACCAATTCCATAACAATTGCGGTACTTGTGCTTCTTGAACGGGCATAATTTCACAAAATTCCATGCTTCACAAAACCAACATGGTAATGATGGTTTATCAGCAGTCATGTTAGGTTCCTGTTCAATGAGCGTCAAAATTCTGATGCTTATATCCACATATTCTGGATTCTTTAATCCATAGATAAAGATCAGACATTTAAATTGGTCTGCTATAATTTCACTTATTCTAAATCGTTTAAATATCCCAGTCATATTAAAAGACTAGTATTTGAACGAAGAATATTCTTTTCGATAAATTCTCTTCAGGTTCTACAATTATATATCCAAATTAATAGTCCGAAAAATGGCCAGTTTAAGGGTAAAGTACATAGTTTAAAGCATGTGAATTTAGGATTGTGGTAAATAAAATACAATAAAATTGTGCATGTTGTTATGACTCATAAAGAATGTTAACTTGAATCTGAGCTTATGTTCAGTGAGATTTTAAGATCTATGATCAGAATAAATATGGGTCAAGTAGGGTGAGAAAAATAATAGTGCAATTACCAATCGATCAAATAGGTAAGACGTAATAAGGAGGGAAGAATCATGTATAGGGGAGATTAATAATGAATACGAAAAATAATAATAACAATAATAATAATAATACAATGATTTATGAATAAAGATAACTGAGAAAATTACAATTGACTACGAAAGGTCATAGTCAAATTACGTCATTCAATAGTTAAGATTACGATTGATTAATTGGCCTTGATGTTGGCCAGGGGAGGAGGAGTGGTTGAATATATTTCTTCTGTACACATAGCTCCGGTTTCTTCATCCGGATGGCTATTGCTTCAGCTGTTTGAAGGACTTTCAGTCTGACCAGTTTGGGCAAAAAATTACTGACCTTATAAATAATTGAAAAAGACTGGTTTATACTGGCACTATGACCAGTTTGTACTAAATGGGCTAATATTGAGCTGTTCACTTTCTTCATCAAACCTTTGTTAAGCCACGCTGGAAGGTGTTCACGAGCACGAAAATGTAAATTCCTAGAACTTCGACCAATGTAACTCGCTCCACAGGAGCAGTCGAACTGATAAATGCAAAATGAGGTGGTCATTCTAGGTAATTCATCTTTTAGTCTCGGTGTAACCATTGGGCGCGTAGAAAACACTAATCGCAGTTCTCCGGCGTTAAAAGATTTTTGTATTGTCCTACGTAGTCTCTGAGTTAATATTTCACTCGCCACATCCCCTCTGAATTGTAAACGCATGAACAAGGATTTCTTCTTCACTGTTTGTATTTCGCCTATTTTCGCCTTCGTGATCATATATTTAGTTATAAACTTTCTAGGGTAGCCGTTCTCCCTGAGAGTATTATGCAAGCTGTTAAGCTCTTGTTCAACTATATCAGCAGAACATATAGCGCGTATACGATAACTAAGGGTTTTGATCAGGTTTCGTTTGTGCTGTAGAGGTACAAAGCTAAGAAAATGGGTATACTGCCCAGTCCATGTACTTTTTTTGTTTAAGTTCCTTTTCAACGACCCGTCCGCTCTCTTAGTCAAGAGAACATCCAGAAAAGCTATTCGGCCCTCATTCTCTTCTTCTGATGTAAACTGCATGGCTGGATGTACTTCATTAAATCGCCTAAGAACCTCTTGTGGTGACGTATTATCTTTACACAGAATGAACGTGTCATCCATGTATCTACAGTAAAATGTGAAGTTTTGAATAATCATTTTTCAGTGGACCATTTTCTATTTTTGCTAGAAAAATATCAGCTAGTATAGGGCCTAGTGGTGAACCCATTGCAACCCCATCTGTTTGTCTATATATTTCACCGTTGAACTTA